TCACCTGCCATCCACTGCTTTATCAATCCTCGTTTCTCCAGGCAGGGCTGGCTGTCCCCATGGCTCCTGAGGTCTCACCTGCCATCCAGGCCCGGCTTTATGCATTCCTTGGATGTACTCGGGCTGGAGACGAAGCCGGTCCTAAAACTCATTGGATTTTTTTTAAAATTTATTTTAATTTGGAGACTTGAATTCCAAAAGGTCTTCACAGCTGCTTTCCAGGAGTGGCTGGCAGAGTCCTTCCAGGATCTGCTGCTTTCTCAGCATCACTTCAGCTCCGTGGATGGTGGCTGCTCTCCTGTGTAGAGTCTGAGATTTCCTGAGATCTGAACGTGGGATCCTTCTCAATGAGGAGCTAATTACCTGTGCTGTAATTACGAGTCGCTAATCACCAGCACTATTAGCGTGGGGGTGACAGCGGTGCTGTCTCATCTCTCTCTGCCTCTTCCCCGCGGTTTCTGGCTGATTTCTGAGCAGCAAACCTGAATTGCAGAGCTTTGAGGATGCCATCAGTCTTGCGCTGCCGCTGCCCTGGGCGTGCGCCATGCAAGCCAAAGCAGGAGGAGAATTTAGGATGCTCCATGCCAGCTCTCTGCTGTCACACAGGAAAGTTAATCACATGCTCAGGGGATGAAGATTGTGGTTTGTTGATTTTTTTCCCTCTTTGATGTGACAGTATTTTTTATTTAAGGCCAGCGTGGATAAAGTAGTTATAAGAATTTCATTGGTTTATTATGTTTGCTGACCCTGGTGGTTATTCAGGAGCTGCTGCTGTCTCTTGTGTGGCTCGGGGGGTTCTGGAATTGCCCTGGAGTGGCTGTCTCAGTGCATATTTCACAGCGAGATTGATTTCCCTTCTCCACCCACCAAGGTGGAAAGCAACAACCATCCATTTCCTGGTGACATTAAGTACCGGCCACTCTCGAGGAGAAAAATGTGACACGTGGAGCCTGACTGGATGTGGTTTCCATGATGGATGCACTGCCTTGGAATCCTGCTTGTTCCTGCTGTCCCTGTGCAACACCTACAACGTGGCCAGGGACACCTTCCACCATCCCAGGCTGCTCCAACACATCCAGCCTGGCCTTGGGCACTGCCAGGGATCCAGGGGCAGCCACAGCTGCTCTGTGCCAAGACCTCTCCACCCTCACGAAAAAATGTCATTACACATTCCAGAACTTGCCAAAGGGTGGAAAACCAGCTCTGCAAAAAATCCTGCAGGTAAAGTTGGGCAGGAAGCAGCAAATTCCTGCTCAGGTTTTTTCCTTTCTGGTGATTTGGGAGATTTTTGCAAGTCAAAGGCATAAATGGGAATTATGCTGAATAAAAGAGGAAACCTATTTACTGCTCCCAACCCTTTCCATGGGGCTCTCTGTGTTTTCATTTGGAGCTGGCAGGGAAACTTCAGTTGAAATGTTTTTAGATGAAATACAGCATTTTGATATAATTTCCCCCCTTTCTTTGAATGTGTTCTGAACTCTGTTGAAGAGCTTTCAAAGGGAAATTCTGGGAGTTTTCTAGTTGCAGCAAATGGGGAATATTTCAGTTCCTGAATGGTGATGGATGTAGTGGAAAAGACACACATAATTTATTATTTCATTTCATATAGAAAACCTCTTTTCAACAAGTCCCAGTTTCACCAAACCTCCCTGCCATCTCCTGAAATGAGAAAGAACAAGTGGAGCTCCTTTCACCAGGAAGATCCAAAATCAAAACCCTCCAGTCTTGAACCTGATTGTGCAGCAGCTCTGGATTATTCAGGAGGAATTTCATGGACAGAGACCAAATGAATTGCCTTCTCCTGGAAGTTACATTCCCAGATTCTACAGCAATACCTGGACAAGGCTTGGACAAGCTCAAGCAGTGACCCATGGGAACATCAGGGGTTTCAGCAGTGCTGGAGCTGCCCCTGGGTCAGGAGAACCCCAGGACCAATCCAGGCTGGGAGGAGCAGCTGGAGCAGCCCTGGAGAGGGAGCTGGGGGTGCTGTGGGTGTAGCTGGAGCTGCCCCAGCCCTGAGCCCCCTGCCCTGGGCTGAGCCCAGCGTGGGCAGCAGGGCAGGGGGATGCTGCCCCTGTGCCCTGTGCTCAGGTGAGACCCCACCTGCAGAGCTGCCCCAGCCCTGCCCAGCACAGGGAGGAGCTGGAGCTGCTGCAGAGACCCAGAGCAGGGCCAGGGGGAGCAGAGGGATGGAGCAGCTCTGCTGGGAGGGAAGGCTGGCACAGCTGGGGTTGTTCACCTGGAGAGGAGAAGTTTGGGGTGAGCTCAGTGGCCTGGCAGAGACTGAAGAGGCTGACAGGAAAGATGGAGAGAGACTGTGCAAGGGCCTGGAGGGACAGGACAAGGGACCATGTTTTCAAACTGCCAAAGAGAAGGGATGGATGGGATATTGGGCAGGAATTGTTCCCTGGGAGGGTGGGCAGGCCCTGGCACAGGGTGCCCAGAGCAGCTGTGGCTGCCCCTGGATCCCTGGCAGTGCCCAAGGCCAGGCTGGACAGGGCTGGGAGCAGCCTGGGACAGTGGGAGGTGTCCCTGCCATGGCAGGGGTGGCACTGGATGGGATGTGAGGTCCCTTCCAACCCAAACAATTCTGGGATTCTGTGGTGGCCAAAGCTGCCAGTTCCAGGAAGCAGGAGGTGGCTTTAACCTCACAATGTCCCTCACCGGTGCCTTGGGACATCTGTGTTTGGCTGTACAGAAACTGCAAACATGAAGGGTTGCAACTTCCAGCAGTTTCTCCCTCATTTTCTTACACTTTTAAAGTACAGACCTTCCACTTGAGATTTTGGACTCTGATCCTTGTGGGTCCTTTCTGTTTTGTGCTTCTGCAATATAAAGTTGTGATAAAAGGGACAAGTCCTGGGTAACTTTTACTGTCCTCAGGCCAGACAGGACCTGGCAGAGGATGAAAAGCTCTGCAAGGAGAGCTCTGCCTTTGCTGCTCCTGAGGGCTGAGGGGGCAGTGCCGTGGCTCATCTGCTGTCCTTCCTGCCCACGGGGCTCCTCCAGGAACCTTCCCACTGCTGCTGCCTCCTCCTTTGGGAATCCTGTGCTGACGCCAGCCCCTAACGCCACAGCTGGAAAATAAAATGTGTGTTTCACCCGGTGCCTGATCTCAGCCCTCCTGCTCCAGACACAAATCCAGACTGAGGGAAGGTCCCTGGCCCCAGGCAGCAGGGGCTGAAGCAGGAATGAGAGCATGGAAAGGGAAGTGGGGTGACACAGGTGACACGTGCAGGATCTGGGATCCCCCTGGGGATGTGCTGAGTGCCAGGGAGGAGCTGTCAGCCCAGAGCTGAGTTTGGACTCCCTCTGTTCCAAGGATGGAGCCAGGGGCTGTTCTGGCAGGTGGGGACAGGAGAGGGAGTCAGGAGCCTGGGATGTGCTCCAAAATGAAGATTCCAGCTCAGCCCTCCCATCAGTGCCAGGCTCTCCCTCAGTCCCTTCTTTGTGGGTCATATTCCTGTCAAACGAAGCACAGGTGGCACCTTTGAAGGACCAGCTGCAGATTGTGAATGCAAAGCTGCCCCTGGCACCTGGAGCTCCTTTCCCCCCCGATTCTTCCACCCTTCTCTCACTCCTGCTCCTTGCTGGCTTTTGATGAGGACATGTGGGTTGATTAGGTGGGATTTTAGTAAAAATCATTAATTAGCTGATTGATTAATTAATAGTAAACTGAAGGTGTGAAGGACACAGAAGAGTTAAGATGTGCTGAGGGACTGAAGCCTCATGATCCCACATTTTCCCACGCAAAGCTTTTGTGGAGATATTCCAGTGAGTGCTTAAAACAGGGATTGCAGGGGCTGGTCAGAGCTCCATAAATGGCAGCTGGACACCTTCATGTGTCCAGAAAATCAGAAAATTCCAGAGGTGCCAGGAATTACCTTGGGGAAGGCCCCACTGTGGGTTGTCAGGCTGGTGGCTGCCCTTTTTTCTTACCTTCATTTCAAGCTAGACCAGCAGGATATACTTGGATGTGATTTCTGTGATGGTTGGGTGACCTTTCCTTTCTGCCTGCCCTGTTCTAGTGAGGCTACCCAGACTCTTGCTTTCCATGGGATTTCAGCAAACAGCAGCATCATTTTTACCCTCAGCCCAGGACATCTGGGCTATTTCACCTCAACCCATCCCCACTCAGTTCTCATTTGACCTGTGCTTGTCACAATCACCAAAAGCCTGGGAAAACTTGCAGAAAGGCTGACAGGGAAGAGCAGATCCCTTCAGAAAAGTGCTGATGTCTGTGACCTAATCTTGGTTTCTAGAGGAGATTGTGCTGTGGAGAGAGCTGGAGGATGTTTTTTAGCATTGAGGATGGTAATTTGTGTTTCATGACTGTCTGTGGTGTGTGCACATGGAATTTTTCAGGTCTTTTTCAGGATGAGAGAGGCAGCTGAGGAATAATTTGTTGGACTTATGCCTCAGGTTTCAGCTTTTCTATTTTTCACATTCTGTGCTGCTTTAGTCTGTGGGTCTGAGCTTCACATGAGGGGATGCTGAGCTCTGCACAGAGCAGGGAGACAAAACAATTCCTGCTCCAGCTGGACACCAAGGACAAATGATCCAAATCTCAGCCCAGGAGCACAAACACCGTGGGCTGGAGAGAGAAAAACCAGCAGGATGGGACTGCCTGGGCTGGAGCTGGAATGGGACAATGAACTCCAAGGTGCCAATGGAGCAGAACTGATCCCAGGGAGAGCCCCCGGGAGCGCTCGTGCATTTTGGGACCATTTTGGGTAATCTGGGTGCAGCCCTGGCTGGGCTCTGGTGCTGCCCAAGGTGGATCCATGGAGGAGATGCTTTAATAAATCCCTGCTTTATTCCTTAGCTCTGTCCAGTCTCTGTTCTAGGTCAGCTCCTCAAGGCTTCGGGACAACAATAAGCCCCTTGCTGTGCTTTCCACTCCCTGCTCCCGTGCTGGACTCCAGAGGCTCCCTGGAAGGCTGAGGTGGGGCTCTGTGCCTGTCCTGGCTGCCTGTGATGGCTTTTCCCTCTCTTGACAGCGAATTTGCCAAGGAGCGAGAGCGGGTGGAGAACCGCCGCGCGTTCCTGAAGCTCCGCCGGCAGCAGCAAATTGAGCGGGAGCTCAACGGGTACCTGGAGTGGATCTTCAAAGCAGGTAAGGCAGGCAGCTCCTGGGCTTGTCTGGGTGTGTTTTGGGGCAGGTGAGGTCTGGGGATGGCTCCAGAATTAGTCTGTGGTGTGGTCAAGCCTGGGGAGGTCCCGGCCAGCACTCGTTGGTTTTGTTGGAATTCTTTCCGAGTGGTTGCACCAACATTATTGCAAAACTACCTTGGTTTGGTTTAAGCAAAACTAAAGGAGCTGAGCCAGCTTTATTGCTGAGATCAAAGCAATTTCCCTAATACAGGATAATATAAAAAGTGATTGAGTGCCCAAAGCCTGCAGAGAGTGGAACTGCTCCCTCCCATGAGTAATTTCTGTTTTATTTACTCCCTGTCCCAGCTGGTTGATCAGGTTTCTGTGCTGGTAAAACCCACCCAAGTGGCATTTTTTATGAGCTACAAGGATCGCTTGCATGGGACTCCCCCCAGCCCATATTAACATTGATTTATAGCCCCTGGAACTGAACATTGCTCTTTATTGCAAGGCGTGAGCAACTTTAACCAGGACCCAGACACATTAATTTAACAGAAAATAGCATTTTTATCAGACTGCAACGATTACCAATAACCTTCCTGTCTTATGGAGGAGCTGATATTTATATATTGACATAACCACAGTCAATTCTTTCATGCAGCACTGAGAAAATGGGGGGTAATTTCCTCCTTGTTTGCTTTTCAACGTCAGAGCTGAGTGAAAAGGCCTTTTAAAACAATGATGGGGAAGAGAAGAAGTGCTGGTTTCTCAAATGGATTCGTGGGTGCCATTTTAGACAGATGAGCTTCATCTTTGCTCTTTACAACTGAAATGTAAAATAGAAATATCAGCAGTTTATGTGGTGCTTTAAACCCATTATTTCTTGTAGCACTGCGCAGGGTGACAATTGAGAGCCACTTGTGTTGTCAGACTTTTATTCACTGTGACTGTTCAGCAGCAACTCAGGCAGCCACTCTTCATTCTGTGCTTCTGGAGGAATGAGAAAATAAAGAATTCCCTTTCCTTTCCATTTAGAATTTGTCTTCTCATTAGTTTACAGCTTTTGTGTAGCCTCAAACTCAGATTAATTCCTGGCTTGCCCAGGCTGGAGCAGGGTTCTCCCTTTGTCATCCTGTCTTGCTTTTAAGGCTCTTGGTGATTTTTGGTCTCCTAATCCTGATCTCCATCACTAAAACAGAGCTGAGAATTCCCCTGCAGGGTTGAGGGTGGCTTTGTTTCACTTTGGGGCCTGCTCTTCCCATCACAGGCTGAACTTGTGAGCAACTTGGGATGGAGAAATTATAAAATGTACAGTCAACCTCTGCTCCAATTCCTGTTCTTTTGGGAATTCCTGGCTCTTCCATTTCTTTGTTGCCAGGGCTGAATAAATACCACACCAATCTCGAGTGAAACTGCTGGAAAATGCACATTTTTCAGCCTTATAACACACGATCCAGAAGGTTTTGTGGAACAGGGAAGTGCATGCAAAAGAGCTGAATCAGGGAATGTTAAAAATACTCTGCAAAGGCATTGTTGAGAACACAATAGGAATATAAAAGAGCCTCCTAGTACAGCTGAATTATAACAGTAATTAAAATCAGCTTTGCAGTGTTAATAAAATCTTTGAATAAAAATGCAGCGTGAAGGCAAAGCAGAGCAGAGAATCCAGGCTTTAGGAGTGAGGCACTGAAAATTGGGACTGTGCCGTGGATGGGGATTTCCCAGGTCTGGTTTGGGGATTTCAGCTCTGAAATTATCTGGAATTCCTTCCCCAGGATTCCGAGGGGGACATGCAGCCAGGGAGGACAGACAGAAACCTTGCAGCAGCCCCAGGCAGGAGCTGTTTGCTCAAAGGGCAGAGCAAAGCTCCTGGGATTCTGCTCTAATGGAACTCTGGAGGATTTGGTCATTATTCCTGGGAATAGCTAATTGTTTTTAAGTCCTTCTGCCAGCCTTGGCCTCGTTGACTCTTGGAGCAAAGAGTGCCCCATGTTAACACTCAGCTGGATTTTAGAAATAAACCAACCCCACGGAGCTGTGTCCTGCCCTCACTTTAAATCCATCGCCTTTCTGCAGCAAGAGGAAGGATTCAGGAGTTCTTTTAATTCCTTTTCTTTCTCTAATCTCCCTCTGCCTTGTTTCATCTTATTTTTTTCCTGCTCTAGAGCACCCAGAACCAATCGGCCCAATCCCCTCTTTTCCCCTGGATGCCTCATCAGGTTTCCAACATTTCTAATATCCTCCCTGAGCATTTGGTTTGTTTGGTATTTTTTCCCCCTCGTTTATTTTTGATGCAAGGCAGGAAGAGTGGAAAGCTGCATTCCAGTGTTTCATAAAATGATGTCTTATTCCTTAGATGGTTTTTGCTGTGTAGTTTTTAACATATTCTGTGCAGTTACTGGAGCTGGACAGGAGGTGCCCTTGTCCTTTGTAGTGCTCAGGTTTTTACCTCAAGTGTTGTTTTAGGACCAAAGGAAGTGAGAGTGACTAAAATCACTCCTTTACCTGTACTCCAGCCCTCAGTCAACAATAACTTTAATTTAACATTGTGGTTATTGCTCACTGACCATTCTGAAGTGTCATTAATGTTTCTCATTAATGTCAGTAATTTGAATTATCACAGAATCCCAGACTGGTTTAGGGTAGAAGCCCCATCCAGCCTGGCCTTGGGCACTGCCAGGGATCCAGGGGCAGCCACAGCTGCTCTGGGCACCCTGTGCCAGGTCTGCCCACCCTCCCAGGGAACAATTCCTGATTCCCAGTCTCCCACCTGTTGGAATCTGAGGTGTTGATGATTCTGAGATTGTAAAAGTCTCTGTCTTTTAACCCCGCTGCCAAAGCAGAAGCCATAATTGGTCTGTGCTGGTTTCCAGGTTGTTTATTCTGTTTATCTCTCACATGTTCTGCTGCCCTGCCCAGCTCTGTCCTGCAGGGCAGCGTGTGGGGCTCTGCCCTCAGTGGGATGTGACAAACATTAAATACCAGAAACTCCCTGGGCTGCATTTACAAGAACGTGCCAATATCTGTCACCTACGTTGGACAGTGTGTCCCCAGCCTGAACCAACAGAAAAATGCCAACACCACAGTGAGACATGGAGGGCATGAAGAAGGAGAAAAAGGACAAGGCACACCCAATTTCCTCCATCTTGTCCCCTTTGGACCCCTCATCTAGAATCCTAAAATTTTACTTTTGCACCTGTGCCACACTTAATTATTACTTATATCAAACACTGAGAGCTGGTAATTCATGCTGTAAGATTGAAAACTCTTTTCCATGTCCAGAGATCACAGCCAGTGTCTCTGGGGGCTCTGTCCAGGGGGTTCCTGACCCCTGCCAGGGTCCCAGACCTGCCAGGGCAGCCAGAGGGAAGCTCTGGATTCCCACATTTCCCTAAACCTCCCCTCCCTCATTTTGAAGGCAGTTGAGCTTTCCAGAGGAATTAAAAAGTGGGGAAGCCAAGTGATGCAGTCCATGCAAAGGATTTTGCTCCTGCTGCTTTCTCCACCGAACTCCTCAGAACTGCAGGAACTCCAAGGCTGGAATTTTTGGAGAACAGAGAACTACAAATTCTCCACACTGAGTAAAGAGTTTATAAGCCCACAGATATTGTTTTGATGATGTTTCTCTTAACTTGCTAGGACATTAATCATTTGGAAAACACTTTGCTCAGAGACTCAAAGTCTTTCTGTTCTGGGCTAATCAAGTTTCTCGTGTTTTGCATTTTAATTCTTCCCAAATCCATCTTTTTCAAAGCACAAACTGGAGTGCTTCTGTCCTCCTGGAGTGCCAGGCTTTGGGATAGTTTCATCTCTCTCCCAGCCCTCTGTGACTTCAAGGCCATCCCTTGGTAGGGCAGAGCTTTCTGAACTTCAGGTTTCGGTTTTCTTTAGAAGAACAGAGCCCTGAGCCCCCGGGAGAGATGGGAACAGACACCTCCAGCAAAGAGCCCCGGGTGAGATGCCAAGGCAGGGTAATTGCCACAAAGACAAAGCAGAGCTCCCTGGGACAGTGTGACAGCCACTTCTGAGGGCTGCATTTTAATCAGCTTTTCCTATTTACCCGGCCAGAAATTAAATTCGTTTAGTCTTTGATTTTCCTCACCTCTGTGGCCTGTTGAGTGTGAGTTATTTCCAGTAATCTGCTGCTCCTTTGAGCCCCCAATATCCTCTTTTCCCACACCAAAGAGAAGAAGAAGAGGCACCACTTTCTTGGCTGCTTTGCCTTTATTTCCAGCCCAGTCACACCCAGCACTTAATGACCAAAAATTCCTCTTGCTGCTGAGACACCCCTGCCTCTGATACCCTGGCAAAGCCCCTGAGCCTTTGTTTGGAGGCTCAGAATTGCTGCTCTGGTCCCATCTCTCTGCTGAACATTTCTCCTCATGCAGAGGCATGGTTTTGGGGGGGTTTTCAGGTGCCAAATTATCTCCTTCCAGGTTCTGTTAGGGATGAAAAAGGCAAAGCAGCTCCTGAGCCTCTGTTCAGGATGCTGGCTGGTGAAAAACCCCTCCTGGCAGTGCTCAGTGACCTGCTGAGCTCTCCTTTTAGCCTCCAAAACCTCCTGGGGTAGCTGTGATCCTTTGGATTCCCAGAGGACACGAGGCAGACAGGAATAATTATCAAGGGAGAGAACCTGCTGCAGGGGGAGAAGGAGGCTTGAGGGAATTTCAGAGGTGAAACTGGGCCGGGTTATTTTAAAGGAACAGCAAAACTGAGCCCAGCTGTGTTTATGGATTGAGATTTGTTTGAGCACCAATTCAAGACCCTGAATTGTTTGCAGAATTGGTTTGTAAGAGTAATTTGTAGGTGGGACTCCAGTGTAGCAGCAGCCTTTGGGAAAGGTCTCCCATCCCTTCCTGGTGTTTCAGGGCAGCCAGGCTGGGAATTTCCATTTCACTCCTCCCTTATTTTAGCCCCCAAACATCAGTATGGCTTTCCATGGGGAGGACTTCAGAAGAACCTTTTGGTCTGAGGTGCTGGCTGGTCAGAGAAGTCTCTTGAGCTGTCTGAAAAAGCCCATTTCACTCTTCTGACCTGTCTTAAGAAGACTTGAAAACCACCAGAATTGTAGGTGGGGTTTCAGGCACAACTTGTGGGTTTTTGACAGAACTTTACACCTTTTAAAGAGCAGCTTTGACCTCACCTGGCATTTTTACCCCTCTCAGCTCTCCTTTCTTTCACATATCTGGTGCATTACTTTGCACTTTTTGTATTCCCTTCCCCTCTGCTTGGTTTTCCAGCCTTCCTCAGCCCTTGGTATTATTTTTCAGCCTTCTCAATTTGCTGTCTTATTAAAGTATCATTCCCTCTCTCTCCCAGATGATTAATAAAGAGATTATATAAGGCTTGTGTGGCTTATATAGGCTTATATAAGGCTGATCCCTCTGGTATCCTCCTAGACAGCTCTCAGCTACACACTTTGATGTTTGGCCTCTGGTTTGTTTGTATTTATTTTTCTGAAGTTACTCTTCCATCTAGACTGGCTTAAACGGACTTTAAAGCAAAATTTGGTGGGAAAACGGTGTCAGATGTTTTAGTAAGGGCCCAAATCACATCAGTGGAATTACAGGCGTGTGAATTTGCCATTTATAAGAATGAAAGGAAGTGTGGAGTTTACCAGCTCAATGTTATGTTTTCTGTGCTTTGGGTTGTCCTTTAGCAGATCCCCACATCAGTTTCCAGCGGCAAAACCAAAATCTGTGCTTCTGAGGGTGGTCTCAAGTATTGGCACAGCACTGCAAACTGGCCAGGGGGGTGGCAGTGCCCTGGGAAACCTCAGGAAATTGGGTTGTCTTTCACACAGATAAAAATGATGTCATTTTGGGAGGTTAGTTTTTAGTGCTTCCTCCTTTTTTTTTTTTTTTTTTTTTTTTTTTTTTTTTTTAATTTAGGACAGTGCAAGGTTGTATTTTGGAGATCAGTTGCAGAGGAATGGAAGGTGGTTGCAGGCACTGTGCCAGGCAGAGCTCCCCCATGGAAAAGTTGCTGTGGATTTTATTTGGACAAAGATTTGATATGATGGCTCTGTGGTGACAGCGACTCTCCTGCCATGTGGCCCTGCTGCTCTCACCCTGTGCCACCACTCTGCTCCCCGTGGCTGAATCTTGGTTTTTGGAGACAAAGGAGCAGTGATGGGTGTGGAGCATCTTCTCCAAACCATCTCCAGTGTGGATGGGCTTGAGGGACCTTCCTGGGGTTTGTGGGATTTGTTGTGCTGCCTGGTCTGGAGGAAGGCCCTTGGTCTCCAGAGGTGCCTTGGGGATGAGAGCTGGTGAGGAACCCGGAGCGGGTTTGTGAGGAGGGATCTCATGGAGGAAGTGCTTTGTTTGGAATCCTCCCCCACAGGCTGAGAATGGTACCCTGGCCTGGATCAGGAATGGTGTGGCCAGCAGGAGCAGGGAGCTCATTCTGCCCCTGTGCTGGGCACTGCTGAGGGCTCACCTCGAGTGCTGTGCCCAGCTCTGGCCCCTCAGTTTGGGGAGGATGTTGAGGACCTGGAGCCTGTCCAGAGGAGGCAACGAGGCTGGAGAGGGGCTGGGAACACAAACCCTGTGAGGAACCCCTGAGGGAGCTGGGGGTGCTCAGCCTGGAGAAAAGGAGGCTCAGGGGTGACCTTGTCTCTCTGTGCAGCTCCTGGAAGGTGGCTGTGCTCAGGTGGGGCTGGGCTCTTTCTCCAGGAACTGACAGAACCAGAGCACACAGTCTCCAGCTGTGCCAAGGGAAATTTAGGTTGGATATTAGGAATAAGTTTTGTACAGAATGAGTGATAAAGTTCTGGAATGGCTGGCTGGGGAGGTGGTGGAGTCACCATCCCTGGGTGTGTTTGAAGCCTGGATGTGGCTCTGGGTGGCAGGGTTTAGGTGAGGGGTTGGGGCTGGGTTGGACTCGATGGTCTCTTCCAAGCCAGTGATTCTGTGAATTCTGTGCATCCTGTGAGAAGCACAGCCCTGAGCCATGAGTTGCTCTGCAGACTCTGTCGCAGGGGCAGGGTGGCACTGGGGCGGGCAGGGTGGCACTGGGACAGGCTCCTGCTGCCCCACCAGCCGGTGTCGGAGCAGGGCTGTGAGGAACCTGAGGCTGACCCTGGCCGGTTTTCCTTTTCCAGAGGAGGTGATGCTGGCCGAGGAGGACAAGAACGCGGAAGAGAAGTCCCCTCTGGACGGTAGGTGGCTTTGCTGGGCATTTTCCTCCTGTGCCACGGGAGAGGTTCCACTGCTGTCACTGCCACGCCTTCCTCCCGAGCAGGAGGATCCTCCCGCATGCACCCGGCACAAATCCGGCCACAGAGCCCCTTCTCCAGGCTGCAGGTGGCTGAGGAGCAGTTATGGGACACCCCACACCGGCCCGGGATGGGGATGTGCCCTCGGGGTCGGTGCCCACGCCCTGCCGAGGGTGGCTGGCTGTGTGTGCAGGGGGTAGAGGCTGCCAGAAGGATGGAGAAGAGCGAATGCGCTGACCGAGAGGAGGCAGGGCTCCGAACGGATTTGACCAAGGGACTGAGCCCCCTGTTAGCTGTAAGCAGTAAGACATAACAGGGTGTGGTGATCCTTCCTTCCGACGTGCGAGCCCAGCGTGGCAGGACGGCCGGAGGAGCCGAGCAGCGAGGCCGCGGGGATGCTCCCCCTGTGCCTCCAGCCCCGACAGCCCTTAGGATGCGCCAGCCACTCAAAGCTCAGTTAAAGATTCTTCCCTCTCCCTTTTCTGACCATCTTTCGTCCTCCCATGTCTCCTCCTTTCCCCTCCCCTCCCTCCCCCCCCTCTTTTTTTTTCTCCTCCCATTCACTGTCAGGGAGGGCCGCCTCGGAAGGGCCGATTCCTCAAGGCACGGCGCCGGCAGAGACTGGCAGCGGCAGCAGCTACAACAGTGAGTGGATTGCAAATCACCAGGGGCTTAGGTGGCACACAGGGGCAGCTCCCCCCGGCCCGTGCCCAGGTCACCGGTGCCAGCCCGCAGGTGGCTTTGCCCGGCTGCCGGCCGTGCGGCTCTGCGGAGCATCATCCCCGGCCGCGGCCAGCCCGGTGACCTGCGCCGGGAGCAGCCGGGGCTGGAGCAGCTGGGGCCGCAGCAGGTCAGGGCTGAGGTGTGCGTGGCCAGTCCTCGTGTGCGTGTCGGGGGTGTGCGTGAGCTGGGGGAGCCTGCTGCAGCCAGGGCTGCCGGGCTGCAGCTGGACGCGCTGTCTGAGGAGCACCTGAGAGGCTGAGTGCTGTGAGAAACTCGAGGTGGGCGCAAGGCGTGGAGTAAAGACCCAGAGATACTCAGGCTACTCTTACCTAAAGCGAAAGGAGCCCGAAAACGTTTCCAGCCTTGGAGCAACTGGCGTGGAGCAGCCCACAGTCTATGGTGGTAAATTCTGAGTCCCCAAAACACAGGGACGTGCCTGGAGAGGTGGCACAACCTCACTGCCAAACACACGGAGGAGTTTTCTCGGGGAGAAGACAAAAAGCTGCTCAGTTCATGCCAGGGAGTGTTGGAAGAAATGAATCCCAGTGCTGGTTGTGCTCCAGTGCTGAGGATGGCCCTGGACACGCTGGATTGTACTGGGACAGACACAGCCTCAGGGACCCCCGAGCTGGCATCGCTCGGACTGAGGATGCAGCCTCGAGCTGGGTGGGGCACAAGGAGCACAAGCAATGCAAAGCAGTGGATCCAGATCACAGGTTCAGAGCATCCTCCCCTCTCCTCCCCTCTCCGAGCCTCTCCGGACCCGGGTGTGGCTCTGGGTGTTCCCTTGAAGTGACTCAAGCACAGCCCGTAGGAGGAAGAAGCGCATCCATGTCTCTGTCAGGGCAGGGCAGGGCAATCCGTGTAGTGTGGGAAGTGAATTTGTAGCAAATTAGGGTGAGGGGATGTTGTGGAGGAGCCTCCCCGGGGCAGTCTCTGCAGCGTGAGTGGCTTTGCTGTGTGTGCCCACGGACCAGTCTGTATCACCACACCGTGGGGTGTCTTACTGCTGATAGAAAGTGCTGCTTTAGTTACTGTATGTCTCGAAGCTGTCACCAAACTGTACCAACGTGATTTTTTTTTTCTGCCACTTCTCAAGGTTCTGCAGGTAGGTGGTCCTGGGAGCAGCGTCCTCAGTGCTCCTGCCTCACCCCCCGTGCTCTGGGTGGACAGTGCGGAGCTCTCATTCCCTGTTGCAGTAAATGTAGTCATGTTTGCCCTCCCCACTAAAAGCTGCTTTTGGAGGAAAAAAATAAAGTGTTTTCAAAGAATCCCGACATCCCCAGGGGGCAGGGATTGCACACCGGGTGCTGCTCACTGATGTGTGGCCGCGTTTTCCACGCGGCATTTCTGCACCTTGAGGCACGGCTGGGTGGTAAACGGAGCTCTGTAAACGCTGTCAACTCTGTAAACAAACAGCACTGGTGGTTCCAGGGGTGGCAGCACCCATCTCCCAGCCCCGTGGGGCTCAGGAAGCTCCAGAGTCCCTGCCCAGCCTTGGTGCTGTGCCCCCCCACCCTCCTGCATCTGCTGCATGAAGTGGAACCTGCAGAGCTGTGCCTGGCAAACCTTCAGGAGCTGGAAGGGCAAAGGAGTGAAGCACCCTGGCACTGAGGCGTGCAGAGGCCCTGCAAGGTTGAGGGATGTGCGGTTTGCTCCAGGGTAGCCTGGTGGGAGAGCTTTAAGCTGGCATTGGGAAGGAAATGCTGGCCCTGGAGAGTGAAGGGAGGGGGAGAGAGAATCCACTCTGCATCCTCATGGGGCATTTTCTCTTTAATTTGCATGCAGTGTTGAAAAGAGCCGCAATAAAGAAGAGCAAAAATGACCTGATTCATGCAGAAGAAGGTGAGGACCATTTCACAGACATTTGCTCCGTTGGTGAGTACTGGCTTCGCATCCCCTGAGGTCTCGATCTTCACCTCAACCTGCCCATGTCATGTTTCCTCCTCTGGAGCGGCTCCTGTGCTCCAGAAGCTGTGGTTTCCTGAAGGAGAATGAATTTCCACTGCTGCTGCAGCAGCACTTGACTTCCCAAAGCAACAAGCTCCGTGGCTTCACCCTCTCCCTGCGCTGCCTGCCTCAGCTCTTGCATGCTGCACCCTTGGGAGAGCCCTGCAAAGCCTTGGGATAGTCCCTGCTGGTCTGGCCATCCCGGGATTCTGCTTGGAACATGCTCATTCATGCTAATGAACCCCAAATCTGCCCAACAGCACTGTTGGAGGGAGGAGAGGAAGTGGCCACAGTCCCATTGTCCACTAATGCCCAGCTGAGGTGTCTCAGCCTTTGCTGTGGGAGTGGTCACTAGGAAGTGCTGGGCAGTGGCCCCAATTCTCTCATTCTCATCTTAGAGGAAGATCTGAAAGTGATTTTAAAGCCAGATCTGGAGCTCCAGTGCAGAGCAGGGCATCCTGCTGGGGTGAACTTGGCATCCTCAGGCTGAGGAGGTGCTGCCCGTTCTGCAGCTCTCAGAGCTGATTCCCTGCTGAGATCTGCCCGGGTGGGGAGGCAGAGGCAGCTCTGGGCTGCCAGGGGAGGCTCTGGGCACTCAGCACCCACCTCAGGGAGCTGCTGGAGCCAAAACCCTCTGAGCCGTGGGAGAGGCATCTCCTGCTGCTCTGCAGCCGGGCGCTGTGCTCACCCCCGTGCCTGTTGCTGGAGTCTGTTTTGCTGCTGAAGCAGCAGATGTTCTCATTATCTTCCAAAGAAATGTCTTGGCAGCCCAGTCCCCACGAAGCAGCAAATCCTGGATGCACAGGAGGAGCAGCACAAACAGCACATTTGAGAATCCGTGTCTGTGGCTGCTTGCACAGCATGAGTGCCTCAGTTGCCCTTTGGAAAGTTGGTGTTGATGTTTTCAGGGATCACAGCTGCTGCTGGAATTTTTTTCCTCCACTTTAAAGGAAGACCTGGTTGCAGAAAATGAGTGTGGCTTGGCATGTTCCTGACACCAGCACTGAGCTGCCACAGTCCCCTGGGCTTCAGGGTTTGTGGTGAAACCGCTGCCACTTCCAGGAGAGGATTGGTGCTGAAAAAGGGCAAAAATGCAGCAGCCTGTGTGCATTTTTGGTTTGGTTTGCTCTTCTCTCAGATCCCTGCATGGATAACAAGGAATGGTCATTTTTGGAATATTTGCTCACGGTTGCAATAATGATGAGATCTTTGCCTCCAAATCCAAGTCCCTCCAGGCTCTGGGCAGCCAGTGCCACGCCAACAGATCTTGGAGTTCAGCATTTCAGGTGGCAGCGGATGATGGAGCATCTGGGCTTGGGAATAATCCGAGGCAGAGCTGGGAACTGTCTCAGGAGCATATGGCAGGGAAAATAACAGCAGTGCTTTCCACCTTCTGTGAGTGCTTCACCCACTTGGGAAAAGTGGTTTTGATTTTGATTCATGGGACGAGGCAGAAAAGAAGGAATGGATTAAGCAGCCTCTTCTGCAGGCTTGTGAAGAGGCTGAAATGCAGAGCATAAACAATCAGATCACGTGGGCAATTACGCATAAAGGATCTGTTTTGGAGAAAAGGGGTTTTTGGATGGGTTTCTGTAATGTGTTCAGATGGGAGCAGAAGGAGCGTGGAAGAGCTAACAAATAATCCCTGAGTGCCACGTGAAGATGCAGCTCAGGGTGGGGGAGACTTTGCCAGGTCTCTCTCTGGCTATTGGCTGAAAATGTTGCATTTTAATTCAAACACAAGCACCTTTATGAGCTTTATAAGTGCAGTATAAAGCTCTGTAGTGGTAAACACTTCTCAGGGTGTTCTCTGCAGTTGTTCTTAGCTTTTATTCTTTTCTTTGCACTCCCACTGGCTTCACACCCTCTGTGCTGTATCAGGCACTGCCTTGATTCCCAGACACCAAAGCCTGGAGGAGGGGATGTTTTCCATGTTAGAGCAGTTTAAATATCACTGCTTTGCACTTCTGGAAGATCAGCAGACAGGAATGAGAGGGCAGCACTGTTCCTTTGCCAGTCTGGGAGTACAGAGGGGCTTGGATGTCTGAGAGCTCTGTACCTGCTAAGGAGTGCTGTGATATGAAGCAGCCTAAATCCCTAAACTGTGGCTCTTCTTGTTGTCTTAAAGCAGAGCAGAGGAGGAGCACTGTGATTTCTTCTCTTCCAAACTGCCAAAGGCAGGATTTTCAAACCAACAGAAGAACACACTGATTTTTTCAGCATGGAGTTTTTTCAAAGCTTGGTCAAGCCAGCTCTGCTTTTGGAGTGCTGGTGGATGCCAGAAATGTGAAATGGAGAAGAGAGCTCACTTTCCATGGGGGAGCATCACACTTGTGTGGGGCTGTGAGTCTTGAAGAACCCGCTGCTGTCACATCTGGATGCCTCATCCTTTCTCTGGCTGCTGTGGATGATGTTGCAGGATGAGGCTGGGTGACATTCCCACCCGTTCCAAGTGTTGACATGGAGGTGATCACACTCCAAGATTTGGCTGCTGAAGCCAGAACTCTTTGTTCATGTCACTGAGCCCAGGAGAGCCACCTGCTCCAGGACAGAACGAGGACATGTCCTGCTCACCCTGCTGGGATGCTCCATCCCAGGGTGGGGAAGGGCAGCAAGGATATCTTGTCACAAACCATTGGTATAGGCAGTGGCCAGCCTAGCACAACCACCATTTCCCCTGCTTATGGCAGCTTCTGTGGCTGCTGCAGAGGAGCCCCAAGGGGTTCCTGTGTTTATTCCCTTATTCCTGATTTCTCCTGCCTCAGCCTTTTCGTCTGAGCAGTGCCTCTGCCCCAGGGGGAGAGCTGACATCAGGAATCATTTCTTCCATCAGCTTCCTATTGTTGAAACCTTCACTCTTTGCCAGGGTTTCAGCTCAGAGGGGAAATGGAGCTGATAGAGGCAGAATTGAGACAAATGAATGGCTGAGCCCAAAATCTGATGCACGGAGGCAGGTTGAGCCCTCTGCTAAAGAAATAGCTGAGGCTGGAGAGTAAATTAAGGAGAATTTGCTCAATTCCCTAGTGACTGGCCCTTGGAGCAGGACAAACAGGGATGAGCTTTCCTGTGGCACCTGTGAGCTCCATGAGGGCAGAAACACCCTGTGCCTGCTGCTCTTTGTCCCCATCAACCAGGAAAAAGGGATGAGTTTAACTGGGACAATCAGGAGTGCTGCAAAGGTTTGGAAGCCCAGTTTAGATGGTGGAGCTAGGCACTGACCCATGAAGTTTTAAAAGCCCAGCCTTCATCCCTCATTACAAGCGAGACACCCTTGCTCAGCCCATTCTCAACATTCCCAGCTTCCTGCTGAGCTGTTCTGGTGCTTGGAGGGGCTCTGTGTGCCCAGGAACCCCCTCCAGCCTTTTCCCTGCTGGGCTGGGCTGTGGTGACTCTTCTTTCTGTCCCAGGGTCTCCCTTTGCCCGCGCCAGTTTGAAGAGTGGGAAGAACGAGAGCTCGTCCTACTTCAGGAGGAAAGAGAAGATGTTCCGCTTCTTCATCCGCCGCATGGTGAAGGCTCAGAGCTTCTACTGGGTCGTGCTCTGCGTGGTGGCCCTCAACACCCTCTGTGTGGCCATGGTGCACTATGACCAGCCCGAGAAGCTGACCACTGCTCTCTGTGAGTACTGGCCACTCCTGTTCTTCCCCCAGCAGCGCTGGCGTTTCTGGTCCCGCCGTGCCGCGGCTCTCGGCGTCCCGCAGAGCTCGGTTCTCCTGACTCCCACCCCTGGGGTCACAGAATGGTTTGGGTGGGAAGGGAGCTTAAAGCTCAGCTTATTCTACTGCCTGTGCAGGGATACCTTCCACTAGACTCTGTCCAGCCTTGCCTTGGGCTCTTCCAGGGATCCAGAGGCAGCCACAGCTGCTCTGGGAATTCCATTCCGATCCCTATCCTCAGAGGGAAGAATTCCTTCTCAATAGCCCATCTATCCCTGCCCTCTGGCAGTGGGAAACCATTCCCCTTGTCCTGGCACTCCACACCCTTGTAAATTGTCTCTCTTTACCTTTTCTGTCAGCCCTTTCAGGTCCTGAAATGCCACATTTAGGTAATCTCAAAGTTTTCCTTCTCCAGACTGAATCTCAATTCTCTTTCAAATCATATTTCAAATTACTGAATCACACAGTTCAGAAAAAATCCACCAGGGTGTTGGTTTGAGAGGGGAATGTTATCCTAAAGGTTGTTGCAAAACTGAGATTCAGTCAGGTGTAAAGCCTGGAAGAGGGCAGGAAGAATTGCTCTGGAACAGGGCAGGAGGAATTCTCTTGGAATGGGGAAGGAGGAGGAATTGTCCTGGAATGGGGCAGGAGGAGGAATTGTCCTGGAACAGGACAGGAGAAATTGCTCTGGAAGAGGGCAATAGAAATTGTACTGGAATAGGGAAGGAGGAGGAATTGTCCTGGAATGGGGCAGGAGGAATTGTACTGGAATGAGACAGGAGGAGGAATTGTAGGAAGAATTGTCCTGGAACAGGGCAGGAGGAATTGAACTGGAATGGGGCAGGAGGAATTCTCTTGGAATGGGGAAGGAGAAGGAATTGTCCTGGAATGGGGCAGGAGGAACTGAACTGGAATGGGGCAGGAGGAGAAATTGTCCTAGAATGGGGCAGGAGAAGGAATTGTAGGAGGAATTGTCCTGGGGCAGGATGCTCAAAAGGAAGGGGAATGATGTCTGGGAAAAGCGGGATTCTTTGGCTAACCTTGTCCAGAGAATGCAAATTTGTGTCACTTTGCAGCAGATCTGCAGCACCCATGGGTGATTGCTGTTGGGGACACAGAGCTCTGCCAGTTCTGATATTCCTGGGGTATCAGCAGCTGGAATGGTCTGTGAGATAAAAATCCTGCCAGTGCTTATGGAATCAGGCCCTAAGGCCCCACATTGCTGTGATTCCTGTCAGAGCCTTTAAAAGGTTGCACCTTTACAGCTCTTTTTTGGTTCCATGCCCTCCCTCATGGGGCGTGATGGATGGCACGGTGCCCTCCTGTGACATTAAGTGACAGAAATACTCCCAGAGAGATTATTCTGTATTTGTGAAAAGATTTTATTTTAGCCTGTTCCTGTGGTCACCTGGTTTAGCTCAGAGAGTCTAGAAGTGCTTTTGAAACACGAGTTTTGGGTTTTCTAATTGTTCTGATGAATGAGAAATGGTGTCTCCCTGAGGTCACAGACTCGCTGACAAAGCTTGGTTAAAAAAAAAAATGAAAGGTGAGGGATGGAGCTTATTTTGTTTATTTTAATGAAGTTTGGAGGCTGGGACTCCTAGAACTGGAAATGTAGAAATTCATCCTGCTGATAGTGCAAATTTTTCCTTCTGAAGGGATGAGATGAGGTTTGTTCCTGGAAGACAAAGCCATTCCTTTGGCCATTTCTGACCCTGTAAAATGACCAGGAACAAATCTGTTGTTCAGCACTTGACCAGATGAAAATTTAAATAAAACTTCTGAAAAAAGCAAACAGAAGACTGGGAAAAAAACCCTCAGATATTTCCAACAGTCTTAACAATGTTGGCTGAGATCTTTAAAGATCCTTATCTACCTAATTTGCCTTGATTTCTCTATAAATTAGATACTTAAATATTTCTTGCCTCAGATCTTCAGGTCTTACCTTATTACAAGGAAGGCAAACTTTTGAAGTTTTTTTTTTTTTTACTAGACCTAAGAGGTCAGGAATACTGACTGCTCTGACATCAAAAGCTCCTTATTAATATTTGTTGAAATATTTAATGCCACCAGGTAATGGAGCTCTAATGAGAGATGTATAATAAAGACAGAAATTCCTTTCAAGTCTTTTTTTTTTTTTTTTTTTTTTTTTTTTTTTTTTTTTTTTTTTTTTTTTTTTTTTTTTTTTTTTTTTTTTTTTGGCAAGATTTCAACTGAAAAGAGAGACAGACCATACAGAGAAATCACTCTTGCTTATTCATTACCTCAATTTACCAGAGGAAATAATAAGCTAGATTGGCAGAGTAATTAAAAGTTTGAGGATTAGGATTTCCTCTGGAATTAGGACTAAATGTTTAGGAAACAAACCCTACACTTGAAGTCTTCCAACTCAAAAAAAGGTGACAGATTTATAAAACACAGTTTTGGGAGCACCTTATGCAGTGACTTTTCCAAGGAAACATGGAGAAATCCTTGAGACAGGAACTCCTTAATATTCCAGTGAGGGCTGGAAGGGCTGGTTCTGTCTCTTGGAATTATTCACCTCCAGCTGGGAAACTTAGATAAGGGCTTCCCTCTGGC